TTATTTAACTGATTAAAAAGAAATGGAAATCTTTATATCATTTATTATAGTTATGTTTAAAACTTTATAAGAGTATTTCTAAAAACCAAGACTGCTACTCAGCCATGTCTTGCTGCAACTTCTAAGGATTTCTAGTAGATTTAAAGCCTTTGCCATTTTTGAAATGAATTAATGCTTCTCAGCAGGAAAATGTTCAAATCCCATAATAAGGTTATGATAATTAAAGGTGCAACTGTCATTAAGTTCGTTTCTTGGAGCTCATAACTTGTATAAGCCCAGATGAACATGGTAACACTCCTGCTTCAGGAAGATCTTTTATATTGTGAATATCCATGTGTTCCTCAGGTTAAAATTCTAGGGTTCCTGGGAAATTCTTGGGGCCTAGATCCAGTGGCTGAATGGGCTAAGTCTCCATTTGGGCAAGCGGTGCAGTAGCAGAGAAAGCAAGTTCCAGGGTTCCAGTAAAGGATGCTCTTGGCAGCCAAGCACCGCCTACCCCCACCCTTTGTGGCTTTGTACCAATAGCGGTGCTTTGCTGCTGCCTGTCTCTCATGCTGAGGTTGGACAAAAAGAAGAAAACCCTGTGCTTGAGGTAATCATCACTTGCTGCTTGTCGTTTGTGAGTGATCGATAACAGCAGGCTTAAGTATTGTGGTAAGCATCGCTTTTGTGAAAGCAGTTTTCAGCAACTTACAGATACTCTACTTCTGAGAATCAGCATGATATAGAAAAAGACTTATTTTAGAGCACATATTTAAAGTGACATCTTTTTATTTCATTTATTTCATCTTTCTGTTTTCTGTGAATGGCCTTTCAGCTTTTCTTCTCTGTTCATTATGATGATTATTCTTTTGGAATTCTAATACAATATATTCCCCAGTTTAGATCTGTTGCTCTACTTGTAGTCTAAGGATCACAAAACATTGAATTCTATATTTTAAATGTCTGCATAGCAAACACAAATGGTTGATATTTGAAAATGCTGAAATATCAATAACTGTATTTTATATTTTGTTGTTATATGTTCTATATTCTTTCATGATTTTTTTGTTAGAGTACCCCTTTTCAGTGTTTGAATAATTTCTATTGATTAAAGCAATCATTTTCCAACTCTTTATTTATTTATTTTTTTGTGGTACGTGGGCCTCTCCCGTTGGGGAGCACAGGCTCCGGATGCGCAGGCTCAGCGGCCATGGCTCACGGGCCCAGCCGCTCCGCGGCGTGTGGGATCTTCCCAGACCGGGACACGAACCCGTGTCCCCTGCATTGGCAGGCGGACTCTCAACCACTGTGCCACCAGGGAAGCCCACTCTTTATATTTGGGATAATTTATCTAGCAGAATAAAATTTGCCTTAATTATAACAAAGTAATTTATTTTGTGATTTAGAGCCCAAAAACTTAAAAAAAAAAAAAAAAAAAGAACTGACGGTGAAGTGATAAGCACTGCCCCTATTATTAGAGAGCAATTTTATCCTGAATAAAGGTGCAGAATAATGCTGGTGAGTTCTTCCTGAAACTTTTCAGTAACTTCAACATAGGAAGTGACTTTCTTAAATATCATCATAGAACTCAGTCAGTCAGGGTGAATTAACCCCCCGAAGAGGCCAGTGAAATTTTTGTGAACATCAGATTTTTCAAAGATGCAATTACTTCACCCTTCCTGTCCCTCATATAAAAGAGGAAAGAAGTAAAGATTTTCTTAGTGGAAATAGGAAAAAGTATCCAACTACCCTCCTGTTAGCTTATGCTGCTTAAGTAGAATACAGTGAATAGTTCAGAGAGACTTCCATACAATTTGGAAATAAACCTAAAACAAATGAGTATAATAAAAAGAAAACCATGGGAAAAATTAAATGATTATGAGTTTCTCCTGTTTTTAAATTGTCAGCCTTGATTAATTCCACAAATTCTACCCACTAAGCATATTTCCCTCAAAGAAACCACTTGCTTTTCTTGATTGTGTGCGTGTGTATGTGTGGGTGTGTGTTTAAACAAATGTAAGTTTTAGTATTATCCAGATTATATAATAAAATTCACCTGCCAATGGGTAGACTGAAGATTTTTTTATTAACTTGTTATATACCTCTTATGAGTCTAGATTTCAAAAAGAAAATCTTATCAATTGAAAACACAATTTAGAGTTTTAAAATTTCTTTTTATATTTCAGTTGCTACAGTTGCTACTAGAAAGCATTAGTTTAGTTTAATCCACAATTTATTCAGAGGGTTGAGTCCCTGGAGAGACATGAAACCACTTAATCAACTGCTAACTGTTAGCTGGAGATTCTCACCACACAGGATTCTCCCTAGCTATATGCATAGCTAAGAATAAAATAATAGTAATAGATAATTTGGTAACTCTTTACAGACATATACTTACATGTCTTAAATTTCCAGAATTACATTTATAAATAGTCTGGTCACAAATACCAAGTTCCAATGTGGCTAAAATTTTATTTTAGTTCTTATAACCTAAGCATTTAGGAATTTAATACTAAATAATAATTGTTGGATTACATGGCAGAATATAAGACATATAAGATAAGTTATAACTTTCACAATATAGATTTTTATAGAACATTGTTCCCATGTTTTATTTACCTGCATGCTAGAACCCGGAAAAAATTATTCCCATACCCACCAACAGTGTTACATGCTTGCACTCAGCACAAGCTGCTATGGATTTTCTAATATAAACATTGAGCTTTACTTATTTAAACATATGCCGGTTGTAACTAGTGGATATTTTCCTATATATGTATTTGGAAATATAACAAGCATTTTGCATAATGGTGACATTGATGAGCACCCTAATGGAAGAACCATACCTATTTTACATAATTCACAATAACTTTCATTTATTGAGCACATACACTAATATAGGCACAATATTAGAACTTTATACATTTTCTGTCAAGCCATACACAACTTTGAGAAATAGGTATTACTAACTCCATTTTGAATAAGAGTATGTTCTCTAAGTCTACATAGTATTTAAGTAGCAGAGATGGGATTCCACTTGGGATGTCTGATTCCAAACCTCATCCTATAATTCACTCATTTATGCATTATACCCTTAACTATCTATGGACAAAATGTTATTTGCAAGCTTAGAAAAAATGATCTATTTTTTAAAATATCAATATTTTTGCCAGAAATTATGCTTATATGAAAGTACATCATTTTCCAAAGAATTTGAATTTCAGGAATCCTATTACACCATCCATTTTCAGCCACACAAAAAATATATTCAGTATTTTTGCACCATGAAATTGCAAGGACTATAAAAGGACTACACTGATTAGCATTTATTTTGGTCTGAGACGTTTTCTGTTCCATCTGGCCCTAATATATTTAAAAAGAGCTTTACTTTTAAAATATTTCCACTTAAAATATTTTCCTAAATTACAGTAATTGAAAAGTAATCGACAAGATATATGTAAATATAGGAACAGAAATGTATATATATCTGAATAAGTGATAGGAAATACGTGGCACTCAAACTTTTAAGCACACATGGCAGACATTGCTAATTGATCAGGACAGTTTTTCACAACAAACCTAGACATGCCCCAGGAGTCCTTCTCAACACAATATTTCAGGCACTTTAAATGTTTTGATTTTTTAGTGTTAAGATTAATTTATTTCCGCATTCATTTATGGGGATTTTATCAGGCACTGATCTAGGATCTGATGTGAAACAGTGCACGCGCGCGCGCACACACACACACACACACACACACACACACACACACAGGAATAGAGTAGCCTGTCTTACATTTGACCAGGAGCAAGAACAGTCCAGCAGAGTTCAGAGTGGTTACAAGATCCCTGTTTTAAGAGCACAAATGTGATCAAGAAACAAAGGTGAGGTAGTTGTAGCTGGAGTGGAGTAAAAAGGGATAAGTGTGGCTGTTAAATAGAAAATTGACTGTAGGGAGACAAAAGATGGACGCTGATTGGTCCATTAAGGTGATGGCTATGATAATTAAGGCAAATAACGGGTGCTTAAACCATGTGATGATGCATGTGGTGAATAATCGTCCAGTTTGGGATTTATTTTTAAGGTGGGTAGGCAAGTCTTCATTATCAAAGTGAAATTGAAAGCCTTGGTTTTAAATGAAGTTACCTAGGGAGTGAGTATAGATTGTGGAGATGAGCAGTCCAAGGGAGAGGTCAAGTGTTAAACGTTACAGATTATAAAACTGGAGGAGAAATCAACAAAAAAGACTATGAGGGAGCAGTTAGTCAAGTAAGAGGAGAGCTAAGAGAAAGAAGTGTCCCAGAACCCAGTTGAGGCATGTTTTCTAGAGGGTAGATGTCAATTCTGTCAAACTGTGTTTAAAAATTGAGAAGGTGAAGACTGACCAACAGGTGAGGCGCAAATGAGCAGGTCATTGGTGATTTTAATAAAAGCTGATTTAGTGGATTAATGGTGATAAAAGTTTATTGGGTTGTGTTGAAAAGAGTGAAAAGAGAGGAAATAGAAACAGGAAGAATACCACTATAAAAAAATTTTCTATTATGGTGAACGTAGCAATTAGCTGGGATGGAATGTGTGTTTTAAGTTATGTGCCATTCTTGATAATCAATAGTAGCTTAAGGGTCCATCATGTATTCATTTTCAATATTGCATGTATTTATAAGCAATATTTTCAGTGCTCAGTACCAAATCCTTTACATTACAATCCTGTATTATCTGCACCATTGTTTTTGAAAATGATTAGCTTTAGTGTTCTTTAATAATTTTTAACAGAGTCATAATTGGGTACGTAGAGATAATACAGTTTGGTTTTCTTTCACATCCTTTCTTTAACTGATATTTTGATCATACATCTATCATATATTTTGAGCCAGTAGAAAACATTAGCTTTCATATTATTCACTAGAAACTCCAAATTTGGAACCTGGGCCCAAGTTTGTAGCCATGAAATTCTTCTCTATGTTGCCCATTGTAGTGAAACAATTCAGTATTTTTATAAAAGATTTTTTCCTTACAGGAAAGACAAGCAACAGTGAAAAAGGAAAAGGGTGGTTTCCAGCTGTCAAACAAAGTGATTGACAAGAACAAAATGCAAAGAGCCAACTCTGTTACTGTGGATGGACAAGGCCTACAGGTATGATTTTTTTTAATCCAAATGTTTGTAGCTTTCATATTTGTTACTTCCATGCTCTTAGAAGGGCATATGTCCAGCTATCAACACGTTTATTTAATGTGCAGATTTGTTCAGTTGACAATTTCAGAAACATTTTTATTAATTTATCAAGATGTCAGTTTTATAGTTGATTGACAGAGTGACATTCTGATTGGATTAATCATTTATGATGTTATCTCCATTTAAACTCAACTTGGTAAGAGATATTGTGTCAGTCTGAAGTTTTGGCAAATTATTACTACATATATACCTTTATTATATACATATGCATTATTTATTTCTATGTATATGTTCTCCGCACATATTATATCTATTTGGAAGTGATTTTGACTCACAAAATGTCTTCAGAAAATAATAAAATGAACTCTACTTGTGTGGAATTTTTTTCTAAATCAATAATAAAAATAAAGAATCTGGGCTTCCCTGGTGGCACAGTGGTTAAGAATCCACCTGCCAATGCAGGGGACATGGGTTCGAGCCCTGGTCTGGGAATATCCCACATGCCTTGGAGCAACTAAGCCCATGTGCCACAATTACTGAGCCTGCGCTCTAGAGCCCGCGAGCCACAACTAGTGAGCCCGCGAGCCACAACTAGTGAGCCCGAGTGCCACAACTACTGAGCCCGAGTGCCACAACTACTGAAGTCCACACACCTAGAGCCCATGCTCCACAACGAAGAGTAGCCCCCGCTCACCACAGCTAGAGAAAGCCCGCACGCAGCAACGAAGACCCAACACAGCCATAAATAAATTAATCTTACAAAAAAGAAAGTTTATTTAATAAAATCTATTATAATTTATCCATATCTTCCAATATTTTAAGTTGAAATTAAAACTCCATGTATATTTCTAGTTTAAATTAACACAGGTAGCTCAAAATCATGTTTTGAGTACTTTAAAACCTCTAAATTACCCCTAGGGTCTCTGACATCAAAAGTAACATTTCTTTCCATCTGTATTTTAAGACATCCTACAGATTGAGTCTATTGTAATTATTTGCCTCTGTTTCTCAGTCAAACATGAGCACAATCAAAGAATTTGGCTTAATCTATGGATTAAGTTCTTTTGTTTTGTTTTCCTACCTATACGTTTCTCTCTTCCGATTTTTAATTCCTTTCCTTAAGAATAGGCTTCAAGTTTCATGTTCTCCAAGAAAATTTACCAACCTCTTACCGCACAAAGATATACTATGTCACATAGTTGTGTTCAGTATACATGATTTTATATCTTTTTTCATTTATTATTTTATTTGTGATTCTGTGGGTTATTATGTCTTTTATATTTCTTAATTTACAAGCACAGTTGAGAGCACACAGTAGTTGCCTAAATGCTTGCTTCTTCATTGTTTTGAATATCTCATTGAAAATTTAATAATTATTGCTTAAATATTGATAACCAGTTTACTGCTTTGTTTTGACATAATAAAACACATTGAGATTAGAATATTGTTCATGAATTATTAAACTCAAATGTAAAAAGAGGAAATTGGGAACAATAAATTTATTTACATTGGTTAGAGAGTATAGAAGTTAATTATCGAAAGAGAAAATCAGTGTCCACACCTTTTGAAAGGCATACTTGGGTGTTAAGCGATCTCATTGCAAGCCCCAAATATGAAATCTATTCATAATTTTGATAGCAAAAGCTTTTAGTTTGTTAAGTGATCCTGTGAAATTTTTAGTGGAAAATAATCAACATTTGTAGTTTTAATAAGTCAATTGATAATATCAATTAGTTTAAATCTTTAGTCGCTCTGGGTTCCTGCAATGAAAATAACAAAAGGAAAACCTAATTTTAAAATTCAAGTATATTTTACATATGGCTAGGCACATACTCCTCAACATGGAAGGGAAACACGCATCATTTGTTAAACAGTATATGCTAGGCACTGTGATGATATTTTATGTGTATTAAGTGACACCTCTCAATGAACATATGAGATAATTACGAATTCTTAACTCTCTAACATATGATAAATATTATTATTAGCACTTTAAAAATGAGCATATTGATGTTCTGAAGTCAAATTATTCCTAGGGCCTCACAGTTAGTGAGGTGTGAATGAGGACCATGTGACTCAGAGTTTGTTTTACTCCTAAAATCCCTGTCTCCTTGGTTAACAAATTTTAACAGGTCCAGAAATGCTATATTTCTGACCACCTTGCTCTTCCATGTACTATTACATTCTTGCAAAGTTTGAAATAAAAAGCATGAATGCACTAGAATTATAACTGCTTTAGTCTCAGTTTCCTAAGATTTGTGTAGTTACATCTGACTTCACTCAGACATCAGAACCAAAATTAAATGGTGCATGCGGAGTGTTCTAAAGACTTTAAACTGACATAGCAATATAAGTTGTGTTTTCTTTTTTATTCAAAAAGGATCCAAAATTTTCAATCTTATTACAACTAAATTAGTCACATCAAAAACAATAGGTGATTAACTTTCTCTGTGGATGTGTTTCATTTCTCTAACCAGATAGTAACTTTTCATAGCTTTCTTTGACATATAAAAGTGTCAGGTAGGGCTTCCCTGGTGGCGCAGTTGTTGAGAGTCTGCCTGCCTATGCAGGGGACACAGGTTCATGCCCCAGTCCTGGAGAGGCCACAACAGTGACAGGCCCGCGTACCGCAAAGAAAAAAAAAAAAAAAAAGTGTCAGGTAAAGTTGTCAGTTAGCAAAGGGAAGACATCAGCCCTTATAAAACAGCAGTAAGTAAATACTGTAATCATCATCATTAAAATTTTTTTACTTAAAAAAATATTGGTATATAATCACATGCAGTGGTCTGTTTCACCTCAGCAGAATGGACTAAAATATGATGCACATAGGTATTCACATAATTTGGGAGAAAATATTTAAAAGGTAAGAGAATAAAATTATTGGATAGCCATTTCATACAAAATGGAAAAATAAGTCATTTTTGTTGTGGTAATCAATTTTAAAATAATAAAATGCTTATTCTTTATCATAAAAGGTAAAAAGTTCTTACAGAAAATTAATTCTTTCTGCAAGTTTTAAAAATTATATATATCATAAAAAAGCATTGAGTTGCAGCCCAGTTTGCATATAACTCAGTGACAGAAGAGATTTACACTACTTAAAGACTATTAATCATAGTTAAGCACATTCATCTTACTTCTTTCCAGCTAACCAGCATAATGATCAGGATTATTATTTCTAATTAGAGGAAGTAATAGATCATGTATAACCTTAGGATGAGTCTCATTAATTAACCCCAGTCCTAGGGGACTTCAAATAGAGGTGGTTAGGTACTCCGTCTTTGTCATCGCTCGTACCATAGGTTTACACTTAATACATATGATCAAATGTCATTGAAACTACAATTCCTTAACGTGCAATAGATGTGAAAATACAGATGATTATCCACATGTGAACAAATAAGTAAAAAAACAGAACTGTTGTTTAAACTGTATTAAGCCGACGTTACCGTGTCCCTAATTATTCTTTGAAAAAAGTTTTCAAGCATAAGCATCACTTGCAAACCAAAAAGTCTAGTTTGTAATACTCTTAGCAAAAGATAAAAAGGGGAACTTTTATACTGAAACATCTAAAACTGAACTAGTGTTTTCCCCGCCACAACTGCTTTTCTCTATCCCTACTGTCTTTATTATTTGTAATATCTCATCCTTATAGTTCCCAATACTGTAAACATACATATATGCACTATACAGAAATGTATAGAGTGTGTATAAAATTAACTCCTTTTCTTTGATGATATGTGTGTGTATGCCCACTTGGAGTCCTCAGGCCTGTTGATTCTTATAATCAGCTCTTCACTGTCATTTTAACTCCTAAGTCCAGAATTACTATTCTATACTTTGAGTATATAACAACCTCTAAAATGAGTCCATGTCTCCATCCATATAATGTGCTAGGTTATAAATGGAATGAAAAAAATGGAACTGAATAAGATAAGATGTGTCAGGGCTGAGAGTTGGAGTTGTCTATAATTTTAAGTCAGATAGTGGGATTAGGCCTCATTAAGAAGTGAAGAGTAGGGACATCTCCAAGAACTTTGGCCCATGGAACTGAAATGATGAAGTTGCCATTGACTGAGATGGAAAAGGATCTGGATGAATAAAGTTTGGAACGAAATTTCTGATGCTGTTAGATATCCAAATGGAAATGTCGAGCAGGCAGACAGATATGTGAATCTAGAATTCAGGGGTGAGGACGGTTATGAATTTGGGAGTGAAAGGCGTATCGATGGCACTAAGGGAGAGCATATCTGTAGAAAGGCATGGTTGAACTGGGATCCCAAACCAGTCTGATCCTAAAGTCCTATTCTTCAGTGTTTACTCTATATGATTGAAACTGCCCCTTTATGTGAGTAAATACGATCTCACGTGATTAGCTCTATTCTTTATAGAGGAGAATCCATTCTGTTTGCTCTTGCAGTGTCCTTCACACCTAATTTATAACCATTCTGCAAGATTTCAAGTACCATACATGCTGTAAAATATTCCTGAACACTTTCTCCCACTGTCAGTATTTTCTTTGTTATACTGTATTACCCTATCCTGATGGGTTTTTTTGTTTGTTTGTTTGTTTGTTTTTGCGGTACGCGGGTCTCTCACTGTTGTGGCCTCTCCCATTGCGGAGCACAGGCTCCGGACGCGCAGGCTCAGCGGCCATGGCTCACTGGCCCAGCCGCTCCGCGGCATGTGGGATCTTCCCGGACCGGGGCATGAACCCGTGTCCCCTGCATCGGCAGGCGGACTCTCAACCACTGCGCCACCAGGGAAGCCCCCCGATGTTTTTTTTAAAAACTGTTTTGAGAAGCCCAGGACTCCGTAGAGATGCCTCAAGCACAAGAGTGGGGTGATGGGAAGCTGAGAACAGGTTCAGGGTTCTTTCACACTTCAGACATAGTAATTTGCTTTTCATCTGTTTTATATACTGTTCCACTTGAAATTACTTCAAGTGCTATAAAAATATTTACTTCCAAGATCAAATAGTTTTAGACTAACAGAATTTTTAAAATACTTGTATTTTTGTCTAACTGCTTCCCATCCCGCTAAAGTCTATAACAAAATGCATATGACATTTTAGGATGACAGTACATCACTTTTCAAAATAAATGAGTTTTATATCTTATTTCAGAATTATTGTATGAAAGTAAAAAACCAAAATTTGTCCTGTTAAAGACTATATTAGATACAGTTCAAAAGAGAATTAGTGAACTTGAATATAAAATTGATACATTAGTGCTATCTAATCCTTAGATCCCATTCAAGTTTCACCAGTTGCCTCAATAATGGCTTTTATAACAAAAGCAGTTAGTCCAGAATCGTGTTAAGTTCTCTATTTTGGTGGTCGTGCTATGTTTACATAAGAGAATGTCCTCATATGTAGGCAATCCTAAAACTCAGGGTTCTTTTACTAAGGATGAAGAGGAATATGAGAATTAAGTGACAAATTGCAGTCTCTGTCACTAAGATGCTGCTTCTTATTTCAGGACTATTAGTGAACACAGAAGTTGTTTATTTTTAACTTGTAGATTTGAAAATGGCTATGCAGTACTGTAGGTCTTTGGCTCTCAAATCTAAAAACCGCTGCCTTTGGTCTCCTGGCACCTAAATTTACTCTGCTAGATTGACCTTCTTTTTATAGTACCAAAGTTTAGCAGAATTTAAAAGCTTTTTGAATGAGCATTGAAAACGATGCCGATTTGCCTGAAACCTTGACATTTCTTGTATAAATACCACCATTAAATGATCCCCTAAAACCAGAGTTTTAGTGGGTTTGATATTGAATCACATACTACTCCTTAAATGGAGATTACATTAGGTCAGGTGTTTTAATCTGTTAGAATCATTGTCAGAGGGGTATTCCACAGTCCCTGTTAACTTACAAATAAATATCTAAAGTTTCCAATTTTTATACAGTCTTATTTTACAAGCATAATTTATGTTAAGGGGATATGTGAGGAAAAGTTGGCTAATTTGATTTTATTATTTCCTGTACTTCCGTTTTGGGTTCTTGACTTTTATCACTTGTAGAGTATCATCGTTATCCTAAATTCTTTATCTAGATTCTCTCCTATTTTTCTAATCCATTTGATCTAATTATCCATCTACTCACCCCTAAAAATGACATCTAGGTTTTTATATTTTTATATTTTATATTTTTATATTTTCAGATCCTCTACAGACCATAATATAGTTTAGTGGGATCTTTATTTGTTTGTAATAGTGTTTCCTCAGAACACAATTTTGTGTAGCGTGGTACTGTCCTTTATTTGATAAGTCATAATTATGCCTTTAAACACTTCAATTAATAAATATTTCTGAAAGTTATTCCAAATTATATTTTCAAATGAATATGGAAATTTGCCCAAATGAACTTAATGTAATTTCATGTAATGGTAAACTGAATATTGAATTTTGGGACGATCATCCTAATTAGTATTTGGATTCAGATGTTATGTTTTGCTAAAATATTTTAATTACCTTGAGAATCTCCCCTCTCTTTAAAAATAAAGAATAACAATTCAAATTAAATGCAAAAATCAACTAAAATCCACATTTGTTAGTCTTACTTTTTGCATGTGAAAACTTTAGGAGTTCTATCTGATTTTGTAATAGAATGAGAAGTAAAGGAAACTGAATACTAGTAGTCAGAGGTGTGTTTTGGTGTTTCTTTTAATGGGGGGAGGGGGAAGTCACATTGCAAGTTTATAGCACAGTGTCTTAAGCTAGTAGGTACTTTCTGTCCAGTAGCTGATTGAGCACATGGAGTTCAGGGGTGAAGAGCTGAGGAGTTACTACAGATCCAGCTTGTCCATCTCATCTCCCAACTGAATGAGAGACAAATCAAATTGTAAAGAGGACACATGGGACAAAACCCATGTGTCCTCTTTACAAGAGGAAGTAAAACAGAGTCAGAAAGAATAGATTGTAATGGGAACAAGTTGGATAAGAGTATAAGAATTGAGAATATTTTACTCAACCTTCTCATATAGTGTGAAGATTTCAACAATTTCCCAGTGCCTATACTCATTAGAAAAATGGCATTTCACAAGAATTGGAGGAAAATATGTTGGTAGGGTATTTTAACTTATATTGTTTAAACAAAAGGAAGAACCTGATATGGTAAAATGGTTGTTTTTAGTCTTCTCATTAAATATTTCAGGTACTTTCTAAGGGAAAAATACTAGAGCAATGAAGGACACTTTGACTCTACTTTCAAAAAGTAAATTGATCTAAAACTTTTCAACTTAATATTTAGAGGACTGCATTGGTTGCATATTTTTGTTATTAAAATATTGTTTTATCAAACTATGTTTAGATGGGAGTTACATAGGTATACACTGAATAGGAATACTCTTATTTAAAACAGCTTACCTCTTAACATTGAATTCAAGTAAAATACAAGTGTTCTCCTTTGCCACTCTATCAAAAACAGTTTCTGCCCCCAACTGATGAAGTGCTAGCACCTTACCTGCTTTATTTCTGGTGATACTTTTCACTACAAAATGTATATTTATTTGTTTGTTTCTCTTTTTTGAAAATACTTATTTATTTATTTTTTTGGCTGCATCGGGTTTTAGTTGCAGCATGTGGGATCTTTGCTGTGGCACGCGGGGTCTTTCCCTGCAGCACAGGCTTCTCTCTAGTTGTGGCGCGTGGGCTTCCCCGCAGCATGTGGGATCATAGTTCCCTGACCAGGGATTGAACCCGTGTGCCCTGCATTGGAAGGTGGATTCTTAACCAGTGGACTACTAGGGAAGTTCCTATTTGTTTGTTTCTTGTCTGATTCTCCACCAGAATATAAGCTCCACTAAGACAGGGACTTTTTTTGGTTAAAAGGAGAATGTATAGTGATGAAAGCAGTGCATGGCATATAAGGACACAGTCAATTTAATGGATTCCTGTTTAGCAAGTAGACTGGATTAACTGGCATCTCTTCTCAAGCAGGAAAAGAAAGCATGGAGGAAACATCATATAGATGGGGACTCTGACTGAAAGTGGCCTCAAACCATCTTATTTAGATTCTAGTTTACAAGTGGTTGGGAAGATGGATTCCAAATGTGCTATAAAGCTCTAAAGTAGGGATTGTCTATAAGAGTAGGGCTCACTTATACTTTGATCCCTTTCTTTTCTAATCTTTTCTACCACCATAATCCACTCTATTCTGGATGGTTTACGCACGATCCCACGAATTGTACCTATCGTTTTCATCTCCTAGGTATTGAGAGGTTATTCCCTTTTCATAGCTGCCTTCCCCTCTGCCCTATTCCTACCTAGAAAAATCACCTCTTAGTGGAGTGGGTATTTATTTTGATATATATGGAGTCAAAGCACAGGATTTAATTATGTTGCTAATTAGATCTATCTGTTATCTATCTATCCTCTATCCACATTACAGAACAAAAGAACCATATTCTTGAATTTGCTAATTGGCATTTCACGACTTAGAAATAACGCGGGGGTTCTCTTTATATATAATATAAATAATTTGTCCACATATTCAACTTTTCTTCTAGATCACTCCTGTTCCTGGTACTCATCCACTTTTAGTTTTTGTGAACCCCAAAAGTGGTGGGAAGCAAGGAGAACGGTATGTTTTTAAAAATCACATTTATTTACTATGTTATATATCTGTAAAAAGATAAACTAAATTTATAGTATAAAAACATTTAAAAATATTATACCTCATGGTTCACTAATTTTAATGTGAAATAAGTGTTGCTATCATCTCTATATAACAATGTATATTGGTATGATCTCTCCTTGTTTTTACAGTTGAAATTTTAATATAATAATGGCCTTTTGTAGATATTTTTATTATCATATCTCAGGTGTCTGAATTCTCTCTACCCTGCCTATCACCCCTAGCCATTAACAAAGAGCTTTGCATACAACATGGCTCCATAAATACTGTTGAATGCAAATTGGTTCTCTAAATGGTCAACAAGATGACTTCAGGTAAATGATTGCCCAGTAGTTAGAAACAGAATTTATATCCAGCTTCTAGACAAAATATATTATAATGATTTTCTGCATGTTCACTTGGAGAACATGATACCATATATCCTGGAGAAGCACAGTATATTTAATCAGGATAACAATGAGCTGCATTACCAGGTATCTCAGTATTCATGTGGACAACAAAAAATTTTCCTTTTTGTAAAATTAATGATTAAATCATAATATTTAATAAAAATCTGAAAATCACCACATTGAAGAGTAAATCTTATGTCCTTCTAAGAAGGAGTGCCAGAAACAGAAATGCAGTTGTACCTTTCTTAATAATTTCTAGAACTCTTTACAAATTCCAGCCAAAAAATGAGCAATCAGATAAAAGCACTCACACAGACGCTATGATAATAAAATAGAAATTTACATTGTGGTTTCACCAAATAATGAAATTGAAATGTTTCCATGAATAAGGAATTTTGAAAAGTAATTTCCTTTCCTACCATTTAACTTTCCAGCTTCATTTCAATTAAATGAAGAATGGTCATTTTCCATTCAACAAAATATTATTTCTACTTAAAAAGTTTTCCCTTTTATCATCGTATAGTTATACTTTTAAGTCTGCTAAACAAGACAAGTTATTTTAAATAACTAGTGACTTAATAATATAAAATATTTACAATGCTTTATTAAAGAGAATAGTTGCCTCACTTTTAGGTATATAAATGAATAATGATGCTAAAATTATTTTCTCCTTTCCTACTCACAGTTTGTTAGTTGTATATATTATGGATATCTTGAAAAAGAAGTAAACTCTTCACAAAGCATTAGATGAGACTTAAATTCATGTTGGAAATTAGAAACAAATGAAGTATCAAATGAAAAAAAATATATTTCAAATGGAAACATTCCCCTCAAATTAAGATAACATTAATAATGTAGAATGACCCTTAATTGAATATCTGCCTCCCTCTTCTCCCAGTACATAAAAATAATTTTCTTTAAATTAAAAAATATATATCTACAGATAGATGCACTGAAGTCATCAGTGAATTAAATTTAATGGGGGAGAGGGAGGATATTTGAGTGCTCCTATATGCACACCCACTTACGCTTTGTCCTTTATACATCCACAGGGCCCGTTCAAAGTCAAAAGAATTATAAATATGTTTAAAGGAGATCTATTATTAATGCAGTCATAAATTCTCCTGAATGCATAAGAAGCATCTTTCACAAATAATGGAATTCTATTCAGGGTTTTCCTTTCAAAATATGTAGGTTTTCTTCTTCGATGTATTAGATAAGCAGAAAAAGGTAACAATTATATATTCACACATAGTTTCCCATACCAGTCAACAGGTGTGAAAATGTTCACACATCATTCAGACAGCAACACTTGAGGGAATCCAGTCTCTACTAGGAACTGGGGATGAGACAGAAGACACGGTCATACAGGGAGGCAGACACGTAAACAGATTTACTACAGTAACCCCAAGGCAAAAGCTAAGCTAGGAATGTTTAAAATAAAAGTGCTATGGAAGTTCAGAGGAAGAAATGATTGTCTCTGAAGACTCAGAAGTCTAGCTTTTGAGTTGGTTCTGATATAAGTAGATGTTTGCCAGGTGAAGGAAGAAAAAAGACAGATGTGTGGAAAGAGGTGTGGTGTTTTGGTAGGGAACCAAGAGATATTCAGCGAGGTTGAAGTTTAAGAGGAAGGAGGAGAAAGACGAGACATAAACTATTTTAAATATAATAAAATATTTAATAAGTAACTTGTGGGCTTCCCTGGTGGCGCAGTGGTTGAGAGTCCGCCTGCCAATGCAGGGGACATGGGTTCGTGCCCCTGTCCGGGAAGATCCCATATGCTGCAGAGCGGCTGGGCCCGTGAGCCACGGCCGCTGAGCCTGCGCGTCCGGAGCCTGTGCTCCACAACGGGAGAGGCCACAACAGTGAGAGGCCCGCATACTGCAAAAAAAAAAAAAAGTAACTTGCCACTGACAGGAACTTTTCATCATGGAAACAACATGACTGTACTTAAATAGAAGTACAGAAGAGGGCTGAATAGGCAAGACTTTTACAAAGCTGGTGAGAGAACTTGTAAGGCAGTGAGAATAACCAGGTATGATAGACATTACTCAGTTAGAAGGTGCAGGATTATCCTCGATTTTAGGTGCTGGGGAAAAGGAGGTACTGAGAATGACTCTAAGATCATTCTTGAGATGCTAGGTGATATCATTATTCAAGATCTAGAATGTGAGGGTATTGCACAAGGACGTGGGAGGATACAAGTAGATATTTGGAGAGTTTCAGTACACATAATATGAATATGTTAAGATATATAGTAATATTTTCACATGTATATATAAATCTAATTTGAAAAACCAAATATATTCCTTCACTTTTAATATTTTGTCTCAGAATTCTGATATGGGATGTGTGTGTACTTAGAAACATTTCTGTTGCATTTGTTATGCAAAGATTGAGTTCTTTCAGAAAAAAATGAATTATTTAATATGTGCCTGTAGAAATCGTTTAGCAATTTTGTGATCTAGCTCATCAAGATGATTGTTCATGTGAAATAATTAAGCAGCTAAAGTCACAGTCTTTACTTTCATGCATACAGTGTCCAATCCCATTTTACATATGGGATAAGTAACTTTCATCTCTGTTACATTGGCCCAATAATCTGTAAATTTCCCAAGGATCTATTAAGAGAAGATATTTAACTAATTGTATACTGATATTTTAAAATATTAATTTGAACTCTTATTAGCTAAATAACATTCAAAAGCAGGGTAGAGGGTGTTCTAAACGCATGTGCATATTTAGAATAAAAATATCACTAAATTTTATTTTTTCCTTCCATATTTTCATCTTTATAGAATTTACAGAAAATTCCAATATCTGCTAAATCCTCGTCAGGTTTACAGTCTTGCTGGAAATGGACCAATGCCAGGGTAAGCCTATATATATTATTACCATTAATTCATTTAACACTAATTAATTAAATAAGCAGCCAGACAAACGTAGAAGTAATTTTATTCAAATACAGCAGCCAGATTAGTATACAAAACAACGTTGAATATCAGCTACATAAGAGAAACTGACGCAGGTGCTGTTTTTCAAAATGGCCTGTTTCAATAAGATTTTCCTCCTTTCTAAATATTGTGAAGTAATTCTCATACTGCTAGTAGTAATGTTAATAAGAATAATCACACCACAGACATACACATATATTAGCTGGGTCCTTAAATTACTAAACCATCTATGTGTTAGAAGAACTGCTCTCCTTCCGTTTATTAAATATAGGACATAGATCTACTACAGAATAAAAAAAAACTTTTTTTTAATTCTTCTCGTTAACAAAGAATGGAAATCATAATATGATTTTTTCACTTACTACTTACAAACTCTAATACATATCACTCTTTTATAAGATACTTTATTAATAGGCAAGGTGTAGTGAAATACAATTATTTTTCAACAGATACATATACTTTTGATATCACAAGTATGCACTGAAATAATTCATCATTAACTTGGCCTAGTTAACTAATTAATGTCATTTTCTTCCACTGATCTGATTTCTCTCTATCAACATGATAGTAAACATTAGACCAGATGAAGTAGAGAAAAGCTCTATAACTAAACTTCTTTAAAAAAAACAAAATCGGTATGGTTAAAATAAGTCTTCTAGGTTATTCTCAGAAATGAGAAACCAAATGTTAAAATTGTCTTTTAAATGCTCAGAATAAAATTTATGCCATCATATCTCATGTTAGATAAATGTAAATAATATGCAATTAATTAGCACAGGCTCCCACAATTATACTCATCTTTTTCTTCCATTGACTGCTACCTGTTGTCCAGGGCTAGTTTCCAAATGCTGAGCCATGATGTGTGGAACTCCTTGCTGTAGAAGGCAGGCTCACCACAGGAATTTAGTTCAGAACACTGCTTTTGTCAAACTCCAGACTCTACCAGGTAGAGGATCATGGTCAGATTATTGGCTAGGTGAGACACATGCTGGACGTTCCAGTCTAGTTAAAGACAAGGAAAAGTAAAGTCTTGATATTAACACAGAAGCTCAGTCAGGATGCCTCTTTTTCTTGTTCTTTAGTATTCTCTGAACTTCAAAGAAGTAGCTCTTAATCTGCAGGATTAAGGAATTTTGCATTAAGAAGTTTAGCTACTCCAAGACCTCTGTAGGTCCACCAGACCAAGTAAATCCAGGATTTGCTTGTATTTTATAGTTAAACTAAATACGTAACGACTCTGCTAATTATAAACCTTATCATTTAACCACCCTGTGTCGTCATGGTCTTTTCCGTGAAATGAAGGAATAGTACCTGCCTCATAGGCTAGTTATAAAATTAAGTTGGGTGCTACCCATGAAGCATATAAAAATGTGCTTACCACATAATATGTCTGCGATGACTGTTATTTGTTATCAATATCATTTATTAATTAATAATCAATAACATAATCACTTTGTAGCTCTATGTAAATTTATTGCAATAACTTTGATTTTAGCCTTGTTTTCTCATTTTATTTTTTTTCCTACTCCACTTTAAATATCTATTACATGTTTCCTTTTACTCTTTAACTGTTAGCCATCCTATTATCTTCTCTAGTTTAATATACTGAAAAATAAAAGTAATAAGTGTACTTGTACAATTCCACACTACAATGAATATTATTTAGAAATTAAGTTAAGGGCCCCACTTTAAGCACTACCACCTCTCAAGTATATTATTGTGAATTGTTTGTGCATATCCTCCAAGAACTTCTATAAATATAAAAACTACTGTATGTATAGAATGTATTCATATATATACAATATATTCATATATAGACACACACATATATGTGTTGCATAGATAAATGGATATTTTAATATAACTTAGACTGTAGTTTTTTTTACTGCTCTGCAACTTGCTTCCTTTTACTCAAAAGCATATGGTGGATATTGTTTGAGTTCAGTAGATATTGATCAGTTTAAATGTTTTTAAGAGCTGCACAGTATTCCATAGTTTTGTTAACTATTCTGTTATTGGGAAATATTTACATTGCCTGCACTTTTAAATAATTGGCATAATTTAAGTTAATGTCTATCAATTTATCTGTTTTTAGAAGCATATTCAAATATTTTCAGTTTTACTTCTCAGGTTCTGCCAAATTACTATACAAAAAGTTTGTATCAAATTATAATCCCAGCAGCAATATCTAATGTTTTATTTCCCATGCCCTACTTTAAATTGGCTATCTTCAGTAATTTTTATTATTGTTAAATATACTAGGTGAAAATATATCCTTATCATTTTTATTTGCATGGCTAATCAGTTATAAAGTTGAATATGGCATTAGTTAGATTGACTTTTCTATAAACAACAGAAATATAATCTGGCTTATGATCCAAAATAGAGTTTACTGGAAAATTGTGAAGTAGCTCATATAATTAATGGAAAAATGAAGAACTATGTTTCAGAAAGGATAGGAATCAGGACAATTTGAGGAAATTATGACTAAAAAGACAGAGTCCGTAGGAGTTACTGCTAAGAGAAATTGATTCCAATTGTTTCTGGTATTCTTGCTTTTATATTCAAAATTTATATCCCCAGGAGAAGCATATTTATTAGCCTCTCTTGTTTCCCATGCCACAGCCTTGGCTACTTTGGGATGGAGCATCTTGACTTAACAGTCCTGTCAAGACTATTATCTAAATTGTTTGTCTCCTCAAAGCCAAATGAGGATGCTATATAACCTGAGGATGAAAGATGAATTCTCGGTGGGAATAAACAATAGGTGTTCACCACGGTCCAACCATTGAGTTATCCAATATCTCTTCTTTTCTGAACATAAAAGTTGAAAAAAAATACCATTCAACATTGCTACTGCTAAATATGTAGCCAGAAATACACATCCTCCTAAAATGTAGACAATCCCAAGTCTCAGATTGTTACTATATCCAGCTTCAAGTCCTGGTTCTCTAAAACATCTCTGGAGATGACTATTTTCTCCTTTCCCTTCATCCATTTGGTCTCAATATACAGAAATGTAATAAGAAAATTACATATTTAACTCTAAATATGAATTTCATTAAATGATATTCTTAATAATACAAAGAATAAAACACATGTAAAGTCTATAGTCCTGGTTTTACTACTGACTGAAAACTGTAGCTGAAACATAAAACATTTCTCAGCTTCTTGGAAATGTTTCCCCAGCGTAGTGACTCAAATATTTTTACCTGATAGGTCTGAGATTTTGGTAGTACTGCTTGTATAGGGCTGAATTTGTTTCTCGTGTGCCTTGAATGACAGGCATGGTAGTACCTGACGGTATTAGTACTGTTTATCAAATATTTCCAGGTCTTCTGCCAGGCACTTGATCTTGATTTCAGTCCTTTCACCTTAGGTATTAAGAGTGGCTATATGGCTTTCTCTTACAATAAACTGTGAGCAGAAAGTAAATTTTCCACTCTTTCTTTTCCTCTACCACAGTGACCAGCAGTATTCAATATTGGCCTGTTGGTTAGCTTGGATGCCAGAGTGAAAACCACGCGAGAGAGCCCCTACCCCCAGCCCCGCTTACCCCACGTCCCTGTAGAATGGATGATAAAGAAGCCTCTGTGAGATTATGCCATGAAGATTTTGGGTTGTTTGTGACTGTATGTAACCTAGCCCTTACAACTAAACCAATGATCGGAGTAGAGGTCCTATTAGTACTCCCTTTTCCCATTATATAGCAGCAAACGTAATTTCTCCTTGGGAATCAGAGTCAGTTATACCAGTTAACATCCTATCTGTCTTTTTGCCTGTTAGTCTAGTGGTACGAGGAGCCTCAAAATGCCCAAGTGTTAGCTTCAATTCAATGAAAATTTTACTGTCTCATATGCTGCCATTCCTCTTTGGTGTTAAAACATCTCAACCCTAAGAGTTCAAAACCAAGGGAATGTGAAGCAAAATATTTGAAAGTGAATGTATTAGTCAGTGTTCTTTAGTAAAACAGACCAATAGTACATATGTATAGAGAGAAATTTATTATAAGGAATTGGCTCACATGCTGATTGAGGTTGACAAATCCAAATCTGTAATTTGATCTTCCAGTTTGAGTCCAAAGGCTGGCAAGCTGCTGTAGAACCAGGAAGAATCAACATCCCAGTTCAAAGGTGATCAGGCTGGAGAATTTTGTCTTTCTTGGGTTAGGGTCTGCCTTTTGTTCTATCAGGCCTTCAGCTGATTAGATGGGGGTCACCCATTAGCGAGGGCAGTCTGCTTTATGAAGTCTACTGATTTAAATGTTAAATCTCATCTAAAAATACCCTCGCAGAAACACTCAAAATAATGCTTGATCAACTTTCTGGGCATCCGTGGCCCAGCCAATTTGACACATAAATTTAAGATTCACAGTGAGTATTAAGTGTAATTGTAAGTTTCCTCACCAAGCTTTACATTTAGGTCCCAGAACCATGTTTTGTGAATTGGGTAAAGCAGCATCGTATAGTTCAGAGCACATGATATAGCTGTTTGATCATACACCATTTAAGTGCCCCCACTGATTCAGTGATTGAGTCTTTAGTAGGTTATTTCAGTGTTCTATGGACAACTGTTTCTCCTTGATAAAACATATAAGAAGACCTTTATGTCACAGGGGCATCAGCCCACTGTCTTTCTTCCTTCTCTGTGACGGTATTCCTTGAAAGGAGACAGCAATATGTGAGACACTATGATAGTGGTTAAGGTATTCAGTAAGTCATTTGCTATGACCATTGACACAGGCATAATGGGAAAGAAAAGTAAATCCAATTGCTAGAACAAATGTCTAGTTAGTGAGGACAAATGGCTGCAGTTGCATTATGGAAAGGGTCCAGGGATTTTAGGCTACCCTTAAGTAGCTGGCTTAGGTTCCCTTGAGGTATAGCAACATATTGGAATTCACTAATTGGTTCATTTGA